GCAGAAGCGGTTTCTCCACCATTAGACGGACGAACCACGACGTGAACACGGGCTGAACGTGCATCAATCACTGTCTACCAGACACAGACGCGACTAACCGCCTCACAGGCCAGGTAGCAATCACTACTCCGTACTCCTTTTCTACCCTGCAGTCATCAGTATGTTTGGTACTGAGTATAGGTGGTTAACTAGAGTCGAAATAAACTACCACAAAAAGCTTTTACTTCCAGAAGGGCATTCATTGAAGCGGACAATCAACAAAGAAGTGACAGTAGTCTTTGTTCACTTGTTGCTTCCGAGAGTACCTAGGTAGAGATGAGACGGACGGCTCAGACCAACGCGTCAAGGAGGGGTAAGGAACGCGTCTGGACGCGTCTACCACGCGTATCCGCGCGCGTGGTAAATTACCGTATCATGCACGTCGCAGTGGATCGACGGCGTAGTAAAAAAAAAGAAAAAAAGAGCAAAACTTATCAATCTCTAGACATCTGGTGACTGGGGCGTTTGCTACTGCCAATACCGAGAAGTAGTCTGTCTTTTTGTTCCTGGTTATGGTTCGTGGAGCAACGGACAGTAGTAGCACAAAGTACAGGACCTCAAAGGTTCTCTATTCTGGGAATAAAGATACCCCAACTCCGTACATAGCCTGAATCATGGGCCAGCTAGAGCTAGAGCTAGAGCTAGATCCTGAACTGAATCTATCTGATTTCTTTGTCCCCTCCTAGTCCTAGGCTTATATTAAGGATTTCGGCAAGACCCAGCTCCCTGATCTGCTTAAAGATCCGTGCCCTATATTTCCATGGAACTGCTCGGGACAAACCTAGACTTTCTTTCGCTACGGCTACGGATCTCGTCAGCCATGACCGAAGCATATTGGAGATCATCGATAGTACTCCGTAATAGTTGATTATCCGCCGCCAACCAGTTTGAAATTCATTTCTGCATCGGTACTTATAGAATCGATCTATGCACGATCCTGCTATTGCCCTTGCGTCCACAATCTGCGACTGCGACTGCGCGAGTGACTGCGACTGCATGGGATAAGGCTCGCGCGCGCAATGTACCTCGGCATTGAGTCATGCTGATTGCTGACGGGCTGAAGCCCGACGCTGCAGTGATTCAGGCCCGCATGAAGTCATGGATATGGTCCTAATTGAGTTTGGGATTTTACTTTTATCCGGCCGAGACTGATATTCTAGCTGAGTGGGAACGATAGTCAAGTACAGATTGATCAGAGGCAGTTATGCTGATGGTTGAATGTATGCTAGTACTTGGGTGGCAAAGAATGTTTTCCTTGGTACGTGCGTCTGCTGGGAATCCTTACATGAGATGAGGTGTTGTGATCTCTGCCGAGTCATGAAACAGGTTCCAGGTGCAGTTTCCAACACCCAACACCGCAAGAACATTGAGTGTGGTATGTCGTCGTATGCGGCTTATGTACAGGCTAGTAGGTAGGACATGATATAAGACAAGAATGTGCGCATCGCTATACGTGGTACGGAATACAAGTACACCATACAAATTGTTCTGCTATGCTGGAAGAGCTCCACTAGACTGACGACTGACTATCAGATGGTAATTCGCCCAGCTTCGATAGGTCGATTTCCGGTGTTCGCGCCTTGAAAAGCAGCTTCACAGTTGGGTCGCAGATGATCTCGGCGCCGTGCATGAACGACTGGGGACGGCCCCGGTCCTCTGCGAACTTCCAGTCGTATTTCATCAGCAGATGGACCAGGAGGATTTTAACCTCGTTCGCGGCGAAGAATCGCCCCGGACACGCGTGCATGCCGTGTCCAAAGGCAAAATGCTCGTTGCTCGTCGTGACGAACTGGTACCGGTGCTCATTGCCGGGCTCTTTGCGTTTGTTGTAGAAGCGGTAGCCGTCGAAGGTGCCCGCGTTGGGGTAGATGGATTCATCACTCAAGGTGTGGGTGGAGACGGTGAGCATTGCTCCCTTGGGAATATAGGTGCCATCGGAGAGAGTGATGTCTGCCATCGCGAGACGCTGGAGGACGGCTGGAAGAGTCAGCGCTATGGCCCAGGAGGCCTCAGGTACAATCACTTACCAATGCCGGCAGGGTTTATCCGCTGGGTTTCCTTCATAAAGCTATCCATCAGCTTCAGCTTGGTAAGACTGGTCTTCTTCAGACATCCGTCCTCCTCCACGACGGCAACAATCTCATCCCGGAGGGGTTGGATGTATTCCTGGTAGGCTACCAAGTCGTACATGACGTTCGTCAACAGGTTTGAGGTGGTGTGGATTGCTGCCAGAGAAAGCCCGACCTGGTTTACGGCCATGTCATACGGGCGGCCGGCAGCGACTTCTCTGAACCAGTCGAGGGCATCGTCGGTTCGTGGAGGATCCTCTTCCGGGAGCTTGCCTTGCCGGATCAGTTCTCGTTTTTGGATCTCCTTCTGCACGATCTTCTTCGCAACGCCGATGTGCTTCCTGAGTCTTCGTGTTGACGGCAGAAACCAGTGCACCAGAGGCTGCGTAATCGAGGGCCAGAGTCTGAGATCGCGCGCAGCGTTGAATGCGTCGATAGTGTAGTTGACAGACACATGCAGCCATTCCTTGTCACGGCAGATCTTTTCGCCCAAAAATACAAGGGACGACAATCGGGCAAGTATGTACGGAATCTCCTGAGCGAAGACCAGAGATTGCCACTCTGTTGTCATGTCAGAAAGGGCCAAGGGGGCCTATTGGAAGGACATACCATCGGATTTCGGAGGCAATGTCTCCTTGAGCACAGCCGCGGTCTCTCTGGAAAGAGGGATGGTAAGGCTACCTGCACAGTTGGTCAGTGAGCAAGAGGCCCCTCCGCACGACACAACGAACCTCACGTACCAAGCGTATGAGTTAGCTTTTTGTTGATGACATCCAAGGCGATGCGTTCCTTGTCCAGTCCTTCAAAAGGCTCGAATCCGGGAATCTTGGCGCCAAAGAAGGCCTGCATTGTCAGCACAATCCTCCCTATTGGCAGCTTAAAACTCTCACCTTCTTATTACCCTCGTTGAAGTCCAGATCCGGATGGCTCTTGATCTCATCCATGTACCGCGCGTGCAGGACGATCATGGGAGAGTAAGAGAACATTATTTGAAAGACAGTCCTGCCCTATCCCAATGTCAGCTCCTTGCACATATCGAACAGGACACATTCTCCATACCTGACTGAAGCCTTGCGCAAAGAGGTCTTTCGCGGACGCCACGAAGCGCTCTTTGGCTTTGCTGTTTGAGATTTCCCATCTGCTCCTCCCAACAAGGGGTATGTTCCGGTAGGGAATGCCATCCACAAGCTCCTGATAGAAGTTCGACACAACCACCAAAAGCAAGGCCACAGCGATGCCTTGGACAAAGTACGGACTTTGGAGCAACTCGGAGATCAGCGCCATGTTGATTGCTTTGAGTCTGTGGTGCAACAGGAAATAAAGAAAGAAAATGACCACGCCACTGCTGTGGACAGGTATCTCCGCTGCCTTCCCTGAGCTATATAGGCCCTATACAAGACAAGGATTCCCTATATTTAGACTCACGGGTGTCTGTAGTTCCGTGCGGGGACTCATTGACAGAATACGTCGAATACGAATACGACGTCGGCGTTTAACCGTTGCACTTGCGTGTCTGTGGCGAGATCATAGCGTCGCCTCAGCTTCTGTCTCATCATTAATATCCGGCAGCGGAGTTCTGCCAAATCAGGTGTAGGATATATGCGACCATGACACTAGCTGGGCTGTCGAATGCTTGATGGAAAACCCCGCGGTGTCCGCGCACGAGTTCAATCAGGACGTTTACCCACAATAGGGAAATTCGCTGCTTTAGCTGCAGATTGTTTTCCTGAGCGCGACATTCAAGGTGGGCCACGACTGGACTCGTTAGCTCGAAGACGATGGATCCGCAAGCCATAATTGGCTTATTTTGTCCTCTGGTCGTCGATCCTGAAGTTAAGCGAAGTAACAGCAGTCCAACACGCGATACGATGATGGGCCTTGGTGTCAAAAGTCCAGGTTTCAGATTGGCGGACAAGGGTAGACAAGTAGGTAGTGGACTAGGCGTTTTGATGAGCGTTTTACTCTTTCGAGACTCGCTTCGAACGTGATCCGCTTTCCACAAGCTGGCAACGAGCATGGCAACTGGCAAGCGCTGTCTATCTAGGGCTATTCCACCTCCCAGCGCAGGATCGGACGGTCAGATCTATTCTCAGTAGATAGTTATCTCGTGGTCTCACCTTTGCTGTGGCTTGAGGCTAGACCTATAGCCAAGGTTAGGAAGGAGTCTTTAGACTCAGATCAGGATTCATTCACTTCACTCACTAACACATAGCCTATCATACTACGGAGTATACATGTTGCCTTGGCCTCGGTGAGACTTGCATGTAACAGCAGAAGCTAAATCAGAGACTTCAGAGCCTGCCAGATTCTAGATACACATTAGCCCTGCTGCCCTAATGCGCCCTCCCGCAGTAGAGGGATATCATGCGACCGAAAAATTATCTATCTACCTGTTTGCGAACCTGCAGTGTCTCGGAATCCAGCAGGATGTGAAGTAAACTATAGGGTGTTAAGGCATCCTCAACACTAATCGGATTTCCTTGTTATGTCTAAAGCGGACTTTGGTTGCATCTATGCCGGCACAAGCCCCTCATCAGCGAGTGCGTCTCTTGCAATATCTCAAAGGTCATCAAAACAAAAAGGAATATTTGGGATTGTTCAAGGTTGGGTGAAGCGATGATATCAATCCGACCATTAGTCCGGCTGTCAGGCAGAACATGGCATCAAAAAACGAACAGAGCAAACAAATGACGGTAGGTGACAGGGACATTGCAAGACATGCTACTTCTACTTGCAGGGCTGCAAGAAGATAGATCCGTTGAGATTTACTTGGACTGGGTCACTTATGAACAGCGCCTTGAACCCAAATAGGACCTCAGCAGGCGTGTGCCCGCGGATGCGGACTAGACGGGTGTTAATTGATATAGCAACGTTCAATAGGGCTGATGACCATCATGCTGTGGCTTCTGGATTCCGGTGGCGTTCCCGCCGGAGGGTACGGAGCTTCACTGTATCGGCCATAAGATAGTGTGCCTCGGCGAACGGCGTCAGCAGCATCATGATGCGGACCCCCGTCGTCGTCCGCCACCAAAAATCCGAAAAACAACGGTCGCCCCGGTCAACAGCCTTCGCAATAGCTGCAGCCATGGTGTCTGCCTCATCGTCGGCGGCACGGTAATAATCATCCAGCATCACGCTGAACGACAGATGACACAGTAGGCACTTCACGCGCCAGTCGAGGTGCCCCTGGCCGTCACCGCCAGGGGATGCTTTCCATTATGTGAGAATACATTCGAGGGCCACCCGCTCCCAGAAGCCCGTGTACCAGGTGAGATCGATGTGAGATCGAGTGTGTTGCCGGTCATTCCTAGAGACACTTATCCCGCACTTTGTCAGTAAACAATGAGAAAATGGAGGCTATCAGGACGTACAGGTTCGCAGGACGCATGTCCGGTGCTACACTATCGACACAAAGTGGATATGTATCTTCAATGGAAGAGTCTGTGTCAGTAATGAAAGGTCCGGCGTCATCGACGCCCCAATTCCGGGCAGAAGTTTGAGGCAACACAACAGGTTTGATCATGCCGTCTGACTCCTTCTGGGAGCCAATGTGGACCCCGAACAAATTTAATGACTGAGAATATCGACAGGGGTATGTCTCTGCACACGCCCCAAATTTACTTCCCTTTCTCTGTCCATTTGGCAAAAATGAAGGGGACTGTGTCATTCTGCAGGCATGGCGACTGCGGTACATAGGCCACATCCTGAGGGCAGGTAGCTGTTCCAGACTCCAGTACAGTCTCACCTAACAACGACAGCAGTAGAGAAGTTTTTCCACTGCCGGTTGGGCCTGCCACGACATTGAGGGCATAATGCTTGAAAGAAACTGAGATGTTGTGTAAGCGGAAATCTGCGATTGGTGTTCGCAGGAAAGTTGCGTGGTTGAGCTCCAACGGTCCGTCTGGATGGCGTCTGATCTCGCCTGCTGTGAAAAAAAAAAAAGCGATCGACTCGATGGAGCGACTCCGCACCCTGGGCCGAATAGCTGCTGTACAAATGTCCCTGTTGTTGCTCTGGGCCAATGTATGACAGGTCACTGTCGTCCTGGAGCGCTGTCCATTTGGCGGGGTCATAGTCGTCCTGATCGGTAGGCTCGGGTTCCATGGTGCATGCGAGGATGTATAATGTGGATCAGTAATAGTCCCCTATGAAGGCCCAAGAGAAAACTCGCACGCGGTATTCCAGCCGAACAAATTTAGTGACTGAGAGTATCGACAGTTCAGAATTCCATACATGATCTTGAAAACTCGCGGTCCAAACGTGGTGGTGAACTCACTACCTTAGTCCCTGACCAAAGTAGTAGGAACTTGGACTCATTGAGGGTCATCATGCCTGATGATGAATCAATTATCTCGTTTTGAGACATGGGTGGCTGGTGATGTGTATCTAGCTAGGCATCATTCGCAGCCACAGTGTGTTCATTACCGCGTTATAAGTTTCCTAAAAAGTCAGCCTTGAATACTCGTAGCTCGCCGTTATTATCTCACCGAACGTTACCAGCATCATCGTCGGTCGCGAAGTTAGGGATGGAAGCATGATCAGGACCAGACCCTGATCTCATCCAATTCTGGGAAACAATGAGGGCAATACTTGCCGGGGTAGCTCTCTGCTTCCCTTTTCCCTTTGCAGTACCAGCCTCGCGTGTTCTCTTGGCCATTTTTTGTTGTCGTTTTGGTGTTTCTACTACGTTGTATAGTGTCGATAGTAGATGTAAGCTTTTGTTGCTGTATATGATCAATTGAACCGATTCAGTAGCGTATCTTGTCTTCCTCTGTATTGATCTCTCCGGTAACAGCTATGCTGATTTCATACCACTGGCTCAGGGTACCTAGTCATGGTGCCCATATGGAAGGCATCAATTTTTCCGCTTTGAACGATCTTGTGTTGGATGGAAACCTGGCCAATGTGGGTTGTGGCCCCATGATGAATGTGTCGTTATTCGCAGGTTTGCCTATTTCCTCGATATCCGTGTCGGTGACCCTGTAGACGAGGCCGTCGGGGTGGTTTTGGACGATGGCATTTCCATAATTTGAGTGCATCACACATTAGAGAAGAGAGAGAGCATGGACTAGAAAGCCTAAGAAGGAGATGTAATTTATTTTGGTATTCACTCTCTTACATTGAGTAATGTGAATGCTGATGCTCATCTCTATGACCGCATATTCACTCTTTAAGACTAGGGCTGTTAGTTAATTTTCTGTAAACAGAAGAGTCATGTTAGCACTAGAACAATAGCTTATAGACATTAAGGTGTTCCCTGATCCTTGCAAGAACAACCTGGGATGTCAAGGATAAGAATATCTGTTTAAGATATGACTTCAGATTCAGGCCTCAGGCCAGAACATGGCAACAACAACTAGTGGGAAGGGATCGCGTGATGCCAAGACCCACTTAACTACTTTCGTACGGTATGCGGGGTCCCCGGAGGAAGAGAGAGAGAGAAAGATCCAGCTCCAAGTGGTACATACGACCTTGGAGGTTGTCCCCTCTCGAGAGAGCCAATTTTCATATATCCATGCTGCTCTCATGGGGTTGGACTGAAGCTTTGAATGCTATTTTGCGCCAGAAGAATACGATTTTTTAAGTGTCTTAGTTGACACGTCCTGATCTCCGCTCCATCATTAGCAGTTGGCACCATCTGTGGATCATCATGGGTGACTGCGGACCGGCTGTCCCATCCATCCACACTCAACTTGCGAGGCGACCTTCACTATCTTCTGGGGACTTGGATGAAATCACTGTTCTTGTCACTGGGTTTGGTGTAAGTTTCTGCCGATAGCCTATTTTCCCTCTCACTTCACCCTTTGGTCATGACTCATAAGTGCCAGCTCATACTAACTTGACCACTAGCCTTTTAAGACTAATCTCGTCAATGCCTCGTACCTGATCGCCTCATCCCTTCCTCCTTCGTTCAACTTTACTGTTCCACAAAGCTCATCCGCATCCCCAGATGGACCCACTACGACTCATCGAGTATTCATCCATGTCCATCCGAACCCTATCCCCGTCGCTTATTCCACGGTCCAATCAACCGTGCCTTCCATAATCGATGACTACGCCAAGGCACACGGCGGTCGACGGCCAGATATTGTGATCCACATGGGTATAGCAGCAACGAGACATTACTATTCCGTCGAGACAAAGGCACACCGAGACTCGTATCTCATGTCGGATATCGAAGGGCGATCGGGTTACGAAGCTGGAGAGAAACGATGGAGAGAGCTTGACCTGCCTCCCGTGCTGCAGGCGGGGAGATCCGCCGATCCCTTGTCTGTCTCGGACATTGCAGAACAAATACATGATCAAGTGGTAACTCCATCGTCGCAAGCTGTACAGTCTCCCTGGAACCCGCATCCACCGAACGACAAACTTCTCAATGTATGGAAGTCATTTGCTGAGGGGACCGACGTCCGGGTCTCGGAAGATGCCGGACGTTATCTCTGCGAATTTATCTTCTACACCAGTCTGGCGCATGCCTTTAAACAAGGCCAGGACCGGAACGTCGTATTCTTGCACGTCCCTGGTGCCTATAATGATCAAGCGGTCCAGACCGGGAGGGAGGTTACCATTGCATTAATCAAGGCTCTAATTACATGCTGGGCGGACAGGACGATGTAAAGGCATGGTGATAGGGGACTAGTACATTCATGATTTGCATGACTTATACGCATAGCTTGGATGTTTAGATGACGACCACATCTAGTTTGTTGATCTAATCATTGATAGTTTATAATGAGTAATGTCTCATCTTTGGTAAATCAGCCGAGGCTCACATTACATCCGTTCGAATACTCCAGCTCATCCAAGTAATGTGTACACCATTTGTTCCCTGTCATTACATTTCTGCCATTACAGGACTGTAGTGACCAAAAACAACACGATAGAGCTTCCATATGATTATCAGTATGTTAACGGCCAAGCATGACCTGACACATCAACGATGAGAGCGCATGAAAGGCGGCTGATTCTGGCAGAATACCGAATATTTGCTTATCAATAGAGAGGTAGAGAGAGGTACATGCGAATCGAGATATTTATGCGCAACATAACAACAGAGAGTTGGAAGAACATTGAAGTACCTGACTCACTGACAACAAGACAGTTGAAATGATGGACTTCTCCTTTCCAGTCCTCCCAGTAGCCGTTCTTGGACTGCTCCTCGTGGTCCTCTCCCCGAAAGTCATAAAATGGGCGAGCGCCAACAAATCCAGTCTGCTACAAGCCCTCAGACTCCGAAAAGAGACGAGCAGTGAGATCGTCTCTCTGCGCGTCTACCCCATCAAGTCCTGTCGCGGGTTTGAACTCCCCAAAACCACACTCCGCCTGCACGGCCTAGACCTCGACCGACAATGGATGTTCGTAGACGCAAAAACCCACGAGTTCCTCACCATCCGCCAAATCCCCCAAATGACACTGATCAACACCGCCCTCAGCGAGGACGGTACCTCCCTCCTCCTGAGCATCACCGGGTCCCCAGAGAAGATCCAAATCCCCGCCCGCCCCGACGCCGCCTGGCTAGCGGCACACACGACCCTCTCCCAGGTCAAGATCTGGGACACCGTGACAGACGGGCACGTGTACGGGGACGCCGTCAACGCGCCGTTCGCCAGGTTCCTGCAGCGCGATGTCTGTCTAGTCTGCAAGGGCCCCACGCCGCGCATCCTGCAGGGCAACGGCGACCCGCGCCTGCTGGGCCGGCAGCAGAGCACCTACTTCCCCGACGTGCATCCCGTGCTGATTGGCTCCGAGGCGTCCCTGGCGGAGCTCAACGAGCGGCTCCGCCGGAACGGCGCGGACGCGATTACCGTTGAGCGGTTCCGGGCGAATATCATCGTCCGGGGCACGGTGCCTTGGGCGGAGGATTCGTGGAAGACGGTCCGGATTAGTGGCTGTGGGCGGGAGCCGCTGGACTTGGATGTCGTGGCGCGCTGTGCGCGCTGCCAGGTGCCGAATGTTGATCCCGATACGGCGGAGAAGCATAAGCGGGAGCCGTGGGATACGCTGATGGCGTATCGGCGGGTGGATGAGGGGATGAAGTACAAGCCTTGCTTTGGGATGTTGAGTGCGCCGCGGAGTGAGGGGGTTGTTGAGGTGGGGATGAAGCTGGAGGTGTTGGAGGAGACGACGCAGCACCGGTATATTAAAGGATTTTGAGTAGAATCCACAAATCAAGTATTTTGCATCATATGTACTGTACACTATGTCTATGAAGGTATCTAGATAACTAATTCTTCATCTGCTTACTGGCAGAAACACACCAGTTGTTCCAGTCCGAGAAAAACTGAGGTTGGACATGGCACTTCTT